TCCATTTTCCCTGCCATTCTAAAAATTCCAAGTTTGTCCACCAAACAAACTCTTCAGCTGCCCCTTCTGCCTGGGTCTCTTCTGTAGCTACTTTTGTTTTGCTGTTCTCTTTCTTTTCTGCTGCCTCAATTTTGCCTCAGTTCCACATTCTCCACCACAGATAGTCCTTCCTTTAGGTCAGCAGCCTAACTCGAAGCCCAGCAAAACAACAAATAGTTGTGCAGCACCTTAGAGACTAACAAAAAATGTAGATGGTATCATGAGCTTTTGTGGGCACAGCCCACTTCTCCAGATGAATGGAGTTTAAGGGGTCCAGTTTTCAAATAAATAGCATAGACTTAGAGACTAACAAAAAATGTAGATGGTATCATGAGCTTTTGTGGGCACAGCCCACTTCTCCAGATGAATGGAGTTTAAGGGGTCCAGTTTTCAAATAAATAGCATAGAGAGGACAAGGGATGCCTGTAGGCGAAGACTGGTCTGTCCCTCAAGGCTTGTGAGAGTGAGGGGTCATTTTCTAGGATAGGTTGTAGATTGTTGATAATGGAGGGGTGTAAGTTGGGGGCTGTAGGTGATGACAAGTGATGTCCTGTTGTTTTCTTTGTAGGGCCTATCTTGAAGTAGCTGATGTCAGGGTAGTCGTCTGGCTCTGTCAATCTGTTTTTTTTTTCCCACTTCTCCGGGGGGTATTTCAGTTTTAACAATGCCTTATATAAATCCTGCAGGTGTTGTCTCTGTCTGTGGGACTGGAGCAAATCCAGTTGCATCTTAGAGCCTAGCTGTAACAATTGATTGGGAAAAGTGTCTTGGATGGAAGCTGGAGGCATAGGTAAGTATAACGGTAAGTAGGTTTCTGGTATGTGGTGTGGAAATGTGTCTGTTGTGCAACTGTACTGTTAGTGTCAAGGAAGTGGATCTCTTGTGTGGACTGGGATAGGCTAAGGTTGATGGTAGAAGCTGTTGAAATCCTCACCTAAAGAAAACCCCCTAACCTCAAACAAATTCTTTCCAATAACCACGCAGAATACCTCCATCATACTCATTCAGGAACCTACCCCTGCAATTAACCCCAATGCCAACTCTATCCACACATCTATACAGGCGGTATCATCACAGAACCTAACCACTTCAGAAGCTCGTACAATTGCACATCCACTGATGTGATCTATGTCAAGTGCCAGCAATGCCCCTCTGCCATGTATATCATATATACTGACCACACTGGACAGTGTCTACAAGAAAGAATTAATGGACAGAAATCAGATATCTGAAAAAGCAACACACAAACCTGTTGGGGAACATTTTAACTTGCCGGGGCACTCATTAATAGAGCTCAAAGTCACCGTATTATTGCAAACCAATTTCAAAAGTCAGCTCGACAGGGTAGTTACAGAACCTAACTTTTATCTACAAGTTTGATTCCTACAACAGAAGAATAAACAAAGACATTGGCTGGATGGCTCGCTACATTCCACATCCTAATGACATAAAAAATCCCAAAGAGCACTTAAAGTGGGTACTACGGCTCTTATCAGCTTCATTTTGCATGGACATTCTAATTGACATTCTTCTCCCCCCTCCTTTTTTTCCCCCTCCGCTTTCCCCCATCCCTTCTCTGCTATTTATTTGAAAACTGGACCCCCTTCAATGCCATTCATCTGAAGAAGTGGGTTGTGGCCACGAAAGCTCATTTTTGTTAGTCTCTAAGGTGCTGCAAGACTACTTGTTATTTTTTAAGTTTTTACTGAAGTCTCAGGCTATGTCTACACTGCTGCTTTTATTCGGAAAAAGGTACGCAAATTGCACTCCGTAGTCTAGATGTAGCCTCAGAAAGACAGACTTCTCCTAGTTTAATCCAGCACCACAAAAATAGTTTGAAAACAGTTTTGCAGGAAAACCCCTCCTGTTTTAAACGGGCCTGGCTGTAAACAATTGATTAGAAAATGTGTCTTGGATGGACGCTGGAGGCATGTAGGTAAGTGCAATGGTCGGCAGGTTTCCGGTATAAGGTGGTGGAAACGTGTCTGTGTAATTGTACTATAGTGTCAAGGAAGTGAATCTCTTGTGTGCACTGGTCCAGGCTAAGGTTGATGGTGGGGTGGAAGAGGACAGACCAATCCTCGCTCCCCGCCCCCCGGTACTATTTATTTGAAAACTGGAGCCCTTAAACTCCAGTCATCTAAAGAAGTGGGTTGTGCCCATGAAATCTCATGATACCATCTACTTTTTTTTTGTTGGTCTCTAAGGTGCTGCAAGACTTTTTTTTTTTTAAGTTTTTTCCAATTACAGACTAACACGGCTACCCCTCTGCAACTTAAAAACCCAGAGTCTGCTCAGTCCCTTACTTCAGGGTATAGTTTATTCTTCAAACAAAAAAGGCACAGAATAACACCAAAACAGTGATTTCCCCCCCCAAAGCTGTCTGCAGGGGTCTAGAAGACCCGCTCTAGGGCCTGCCACAGGAGTTACACAGCTTTTAGTAGCTCTTCTTCAGCTGAGCTCTCTGCCCTTTAGAAGTCACCTTTCACTTAATACTTTTCCAGTTGGAGTAAATAATCAAATAGGGTTGGCTTTAGGCCCCCAGGCTCTTAAGGGTAGACCACCTTGTTGTATCCCTGTTCATGTTCTATGGACAATACATTAAATAACTTTGTTTAGAGAGAAGGTGAATAAGAAACCATCTTAACTTTTTTCAACCTCTTCTTGTATGGAAGTGTTTCCACACACTGATAATCTTCATTGCCCATCTTTGGATCTTTTAAAGGAGGAAATTTATGGTTACAAGTGAATAGCATGTCAAGTGAGGAGGTACTATGGATTTATATGGTATTACAAAATTTTTAACACTGTTTTCTATCCTGTTCTTTAGCTATATTTAAATACATCTAATTTACCTTTTAACTGTCATTGTGCATTAAGAACATGCTTTCATTGAGCTGTCACAGTGATGCCTAAGTGTCTTACCTTATAACTCTACAACTCAGGAATCAGACAACATTTTTGAAAACATAAACTTACTTCTAATGAAAACCTATAGGAAATTTCTGGAACCAAAGATATAATGGTGACTGTTGCTACTTGGTCCAAAAATTCTGGTACCATCCCAGCTTTAATAGGGCCATCTCAGAATTGCACAAATACGCTCCATGTAACATCTTAATTTTTGATATTAGAGTGAAATGTAGATGCAGCATTGTGTGAAACCATTATGTTACCACAATGTGCTGCATTCTGTCATAGAACTGTGATGGACGAGTTTGCCTTATCTGACCAATTTCTAAAGACACCTAATCAACTAGCATAGATAGTTGAATCTCATTATGTGTTGCCCCATGTGGGTGGAGGGGGAGGGACCAAAATTTGTTTTCTGTATGGTTCCCCAATTTGGATACTTCATAAGTCTTCACCATAACTATGTATTGTTAGTTGATACACTTGCATGTAAGTGGAAATTCCAGCATGGCTGCTTGTTTGCTTTGAAGTAAGAATAAGAGCCTCCGGAAAAGGGCACTTTTTCCGGAGGATCGGGGCCAGTCTAGACGCTCTTTTCCGGCTTTTTTAAAAGCTGGAAAAAAGCGGCGGACATTTTTATTTAAATGCCGCAGGGGATATTTAAATCCCCCGCGGATTTCCCTACGACGACTAGTGAAATTTACATGCCCCTTCCGGAAAAGGGGCCAGTGTAGACGTAGCCGCTGTGTTTCCCTGCTTTCTGTGTCAGAGTTCAGTGTGGTTGTGGTGTTGGACTTTGTGTTCCCCGTTGTGTATACAAATGGGCTACGTCTAGACTGGCATGATTTTCTGCAAATGCTTTTAACGGAAAACTTTTCTGTTAAAAGCATTTTTGGAACAGAGCATCTAGATTGGCACGGACGCTTTTCCGCAAAAGCACTTTTTGCGGAAAAGCGTCCATGGCCAATCTAGATGCGTTTTTCTGCAAAAAAGCCCCAGTCGCCATTTTCATGATCGGGGCTTTTTTGCGGAAAACAAATCTGAGCTGTCTAAACTGGCCCTTTTGCGCAAAAGCCTTGTGCAAAAGGGACTTTTGCCCAAACGGGAGCAGAATAGTATTTCCGCAAGTAGCACTGATTTCTTACAGTAGGGAGTCAGTGCTTTTGCAGAAATTCAAGCGGCCAGTGTAGACAGCTGGTAAGTTTTTCTGCAAAAGCGGCTGAGCATAGTATTTCCGCAAAAAGCACTGATTTCAGACAGTAGGAAGTCAGTGCTTTTGCAGAAATTCAACTGGCCAGTCTAGACACAGCCATGGAGTGATGCAAATGAGGCTAGGGGGGGGTTAGGTGTGTCTTCCCCCTTGTCTGCTGATCCGCTTTGGCCTTTGGTTCAAGCAGAGACTGGGAGGAGGGCAGTGGGAAGGTTTTTCATTAGTCTGTGTGCATGGATATTATGCCCTCAAGAATGCAATAAACATAACAATACAAATAAAAGGTAGCAAGTGCTATAAGAGAATCACAGAAAGAATAGCTATTGACTTAAGCGTTTTTGAGCAGTAGCTATTAAAACAAAAACAAATAGTACAATGCCATGCATTGCACTGAGTAATACAAGTAACAGAAATAACATTTGCAAGGAGCAAAGCTACACATAACATGGGTTACAGCGACGGGACTGCAATTCAGTGATTTATGGGCAGCAGACAACACAAATGTGTGAAATGTTATGAGAATTCATGTCCTCTCTTTAGCCCCTTTTTCCATTGTTAACCCTTTTAAAATGCACTGAGCAAAAACTTCTTCATAGCAAGGGAAGGGAGAAAGGCAGGGGCATCTGCAGCCCTACTGAGCATGCTCAGTGCCTCTGATTTGAGTAAATTATATAAAAAAAAAGCAGGTTTAAGCAAATAATAAAAAGCCCCTCTGCCACAGCCACCCTTTGACTGGTGCCTCATTCCCATGGGGTAACTGTTTTTACCCCTTCTGCCCTGCCTGTGCTGGGGATTTGCCCTCCGTGTTGCGGAGTTTTCCTGCCGCTCCTCCCCCACCAGCCCTGAGTTTGTCCCAGCACCGATTCGAAGCCTGCCTGCAGGCGCTTCGCCCCCAGGCCCAGTCAGTTTTCATCCCCCTCCTCTGTTTAGCCCCTTTTCTCCCTTTAACCCCTTTTAAAAAAGAGTAAGCAAAGACCTACACATAGGAGTTGGCAGGGCGAAGGGTAGTGGCGTCAACAGAGCTACTGATCATACTCACTGCCCCGAAATTCTCCCTAAGTAGCACAGTGTCATCGGTAGCAGCTCTCTACATACGACGAGCTAGCCCAGAGACTGTTCAGAACTACCTCTTCCACCATTGCGTCGGGGTCGTACCCCCCGCGACTATGGAAGCAGCTGGACTACGTTTCTCAACATGCATCACGGGGGTAAGAGCAATTGGCGAGAACGAGACCAACGGAGGCTTCATTTTCCAGCGCAATAGCGCGCCTATTGTGTGGATGTGTCCAGGCAGGAAAGTAACTGGCGCAGCGCAAACTTCCGGCAGAAGCTGTTCAACCAAATGTGAGTGCGGGGACGCGGAGGTGAGAGCGGGGCAGCCTAAACCGCAAACGCTCTCTG